TTTCCATTCTACTAACGCTCTTCACATCCATATTCTTTACCATATATATAATATAACGCCTTATTTTAATTCCCATGTTTACGATTTATTTGTCGAAAAACTGTCTTGCCCATTAACATCTCGCGAAAATTTTCGACTTTTTGAATGGCCGTTTTCAAGATCTCAAAAACTGTGGGATATTTTTTACAAAGCTAATCGACATTTATTTACCACATATATGTACTATACAATGCACCTGGTTTCATCGAATTTTTACCGTCAGTTTTCTCGTGAGACTACCTTTAAAAATACGTTTGGAAAATTAATTTTTAGCATTTTAGGAATTTTCTCACTTTTCTTCCAAATTGACATCCTTACTCCCAGGAGTATAATTCTTTAATCAAGAGTAAAAAATAATATTGAAAATTAAAAAACAGTTTTTAATTGATCCAAAAATATATTGCTAAAAAGTAGTAAATATGTCTATCATAAAAGCCTTATTAAAATTTTAAAATACATGTTTTTTATTCATATTTATAATTTTTCAAACATTATTTTCTTCAAAATCAAGAGAAAATATATTTTCTACATATAAAAACTCTTAATCTCTTAATTGGAATACTGATCCACATCATCGATAAAATCTTATTTCTCTTCTGATAACTGCAAAGCAACAGATTCGAATGCTGTTTCAGGCTATATAAACAGTAGAGTGATCGCACTCGGCTTATTCATTTATCAAAATCTCAATCAAAAAAAAAATTATCACAGTATCTCAGCCGCAAAAATGGTTCATGAAATCTTCAATTACTTCCAAATTTGAACATATTCATTCAGCTTGTCTTGATATGTCATATTTTCGCAATTTTTTGTGAGAATTCAAAATAAATATGTATAGCGAGGTTAATGAAATTAAGGCTGTGATTACAACCCATTCATTATGTGCTGCTTCTTCTAAACTATATATTATACTGCTGATTATTCCCCAAGTAGCATTTGATTTTAATTTTTATGCGAATTTCAAAATTTGATGTTTTAACATCAGTAATTGAACACCTTGAATTCTAAAAATCATATTGTAATTCAAATTTTATTAATTGATCTTTCAATTGCGCGTTTAGAAAAAGGATGATATAATATTTTAAAAATATTATGTATGTATAATATGAATTTGAATAAAACTGTTCTTAGTATTAATGACCTTTGGTTCGCATTGTAAAATACGAAAAAAAATAAGTTATTTTTATTTGTTTACATATTGTGCCAATTTTCATTATCATACATGCTGTCTAAGCACTCATAGTAATTAAAGTAGTTGGATATGATGTTGACATATAATTGTAATTTATAAATTTATTTGATATGCAGCCTTAGTTAAAATTTTAATAAAATACAACTGAAACAAGCTACAAAATAACCAATGATATGCATATTTTAGCACGTCTAAAAAAAGTCAAATGTGAATTGATATATTCGATTTCTTTTGCAAAAATTTTAGTAAAATATTAATCTTTGATATATTTTCTGGATGTGTCAAAAAATTCTGATAACTCCTTTTGAACGATATCCTAGTTGAGTTAGAAGGGAAGTGAAAAATTGAATGCATCATCTCACCTCAGAGACCCTAGTCAAATATTTGAATCCAGTCAGGTGATGTGATATCGATCCAACCAAAAAATCTAGTGTATGTCAAATCTAGGTCCTCATAGGGAAGGATTTCGTGGATTACCAAATGCAGATGATGTGTATGCATATACAACAACAGGCGATCAAAGCAAACTTTTCGAACCATCTGTAATTTCATTTAATAAAGTTTCTGGCAATAATCCAACAGTTGTCATCAATCCTGATTCAAAGTTCCAAACGATCGATGGATTTGGAGCTGCTATTACAGGTTCCACAGCATATAACTTAAAACAAATGACTCAAGAAGCAAGAGACAAGTTCCTTAAAGATACATTCGATCCAGACACAGGTATGGGCTATTCTTTCATTCGTATTTCTATCGGTTGCTCAGACTTTTCTCTCAAAGATTTCACAGAATGTGATAAAGAAGGAATTGACAATTTCGCTCTTGATTCCGAAGATACAGACATTATCATCCCAATTATACAGCAAATTCTCAAGATTAACCCTTCTGTTAAAATTATTGCAACTCCTTGGACTCCTCCTATTTGGATGAAGGTTTCAGACCTGTCCACCCTTAGAAGACATAATTCCTTCATTTCTGGTTACCTTGATCCAAGACTTTACCAAGAATATGCTACTTATTTTGTCAAATACGTCCAAGCAATGGCCAAATACAATTTTCACATCTACGCCATCACATTACAAAATGAGCCACTTAATAAAGGCAACTCCGCTTCTTGTTTCATGGGCTACGAGCAACAAAGAGATTTTATTAAGACAGCTCTTGGTCCACAGTTCGCTGCAAACAACATTTCGACAAAGATCATTATTTACGACCATAATTATAACTACGATAACATTGTTACTCAAGAACATTATCCAGTTCACATTTACGATGACGCCGAGGCTAATAAATACATTGATGGTGCTGCTTATCATGCTTATGGTGGTTTCAACACAGAAATGGACTATGTTACTAGCAAATATCCTAATAAGAATTTATATTTCACAGAAATAGCAATTGGCGAATGGAATTACAATTTCCAGGGCGACTTGATGTGGAATACACGTGAAATCGGTATTGGAACCCTTAATAAAGGCAGCAAATGCGCAATCATGTGGAATTTGCTTCTTGATACAAACCATGGACCATATCGTCCAAATGGATGCTCCAATTCCTATGGAGCAGTTGATGTTAAAGTTCCTGGTTACTCAGAGCTCATTTACAGGTCTCATTACTATGATATGGCACATCTTTCCAAAGTTATTAAGCCAGACTCCATCAGACTTGGAACAACAGTCTCAGGAAGCTCAAATGTCTATGCTACATCAGCTATTAACACAAACGGATTCATTGGCGCTGTTTTACTTAATGATCAGGACCAAGACGTCACTGTTTCAGTCCACTGTGGCTCCCATGCATTTGATGTCCCGATGTCAAAGAGATCTGTTGTTTCCGTCATTTGGAAACAATAAATGAAAAAAAATTAATTTTAAATTTTAATAAATAGTTTCAAATATATATTGAATTTCCTCATATTTCTTCTGAACATAATTATCTAACACAATATATTATGATTTGAAACATTATACACAATCAGAATTTTGATTTTCTCTTTTTTTAATCTATAACCTTGTACAATGAATTTTCACAACAATCTCAATATATTACCAGAAGACAGATAGCAATTTTGTCTTATCCAAAATTATAATGATTTTTGTACCTGATCATATAGGAAAAGAGAAGTTCGGATAATAATACTGACTTATTCTAGCATCAATATTCGAGAAAATGCATTAAAAAAAAGCAAAAACATCAAAATCGAATATAATCCCTAGTTTTCGAAAGAGTTAAAGTATTTTCCAATTAGGAAACAATAATTGTGCCCATAACAGATTAATGTTGATAGATATTTAAAGCATCGATAATGTTCAGTGATAGATATGAAGTGATCCTATCGATCTCCATCTATCGATAGATAAATTTGAGATAAAATCTATCGTCAATTTTATACATCGCTGTGAAATAATGATTAATTATGTGTATAGATGATATTATTTCTTGGTTAGTAAACATGACGGCGGTTTTAATAAAATGGTGTCAATAAAAAGTATTGTTGTAAATGTTCGTATTTTAACACGATAGACATGTTTTGGCAAATTTTTTGAAAATTGAGCCGATGTTCAAAACAATCAGTTTGACACTCTCGATAAATGTCACAGCCTATCTTTGTCAACGAGGTTTTCTCGTTTGCTTCTCAGAACATGGACCCGAGATTTGCAGTCCCATCCAATTCTGCAGTCTCTAAGGACAAATATCTCTGCGTCCGCGAAGAAAACGGACCAGAATCTTCTGTCGCCATCATTGACCTTCAGCAGGGCAACCAGATCACAAGACATAAAATGAGCGCCGATGCTGCAGTCATGCATCCATCTCGCAACGTTATTGCTCTTCGTGGTAACAATGCTCTCCAAGTTTTCGATCTCAACACACGCCAACGCCTTAAATCATTCACCGTTCCAGAAAACATGCAAGTTACATACTGGAAATTCGTCGACGATGATACTCTCATGTTTGTTGTTGGTAATGCTGTTTTCCACTGGACAATGAGCCAGAACAACAACCCAGTTCAGGTATTCCAGCTTCTCCCACAACTCGCCAACACACAGATCATTGGCTACGCTGTTTCCCAGGACAAGCAGTGGTATTTACTTTCTGGCCTCACACAGGAGAACAACCAGATTGTCGGCAAGCTCCAGATTTACTCCAACGAGCACAAGGTCTCCAAGTTATCGATGCCTTCAATGGTGTTTTCGCTAACATCGGCAATCTTCAGCTTCTTGCCTTCGCTTCAAAGGCTGGCAACATGAAGCTCAACATCTTCCCACTTGGCAGCTCCCCAGAAGCCCAATCCTTCGGCAGAAAGTTCCAGGATCTCCAAGCTCCACCGGATGCTCAGGACGACTTACCACTCTACGTTCTCTTCTCACAGAAGTACAACTCCATCTACATGGTTACACGTGGCGGTCTCCTCTACATGATGGAACTCCAATCCGCAACAGTTTATCTCTCCGTCAGAATCGCCAACACACCACAGATCCTCGCCAACTCCACAACAAACGGTGGAATCCTCGCTCTCGGCAAGGACGGCCGTCTCGTTTCAATCGCCATCAACAATGATACAATTGTCGACTACATTACACAGCGCGCTGGTGCCCAAGTTGCTGCCAAGGTCGCTGCCAACGCCGGCATCCACATGTCGAACGATTTCATCACACAGTAGTTCGATCAGCTCCTTCTCCAGGGCAACTTCCAGGAAGCCGCTCGTGTTGCCGCTACAACACCTGGCGATGCTCTCCGTGGTGCTGCTACAATCTCCAAGTTACAGAGATTGCCAACACAGCCAGGAGGCCATCCACCGCTTCTCCAGTACTTGTCCGCTCTTATTACACAGACAAAGCTCACAGAAGTCGAATCTGTTGAGTTCTGCCGCATTGTCATCAACATGGGCAAGGCCAACCTCATCCAGAACTGGATCAAGAACGACAGCCTCACACCATCAGAGAACTTAGGTGATGTTTGCAAGCAAGCTGATCCAATCACAGCCGCCGCCATCTACATCCGCGCTGGTGCACACGCAAAGGTCTGCGCCACATTCGCTGAGATGGGCTCATTCGACAAGATCGCACAGTACTGCCAGCAGTACAACTACACATGCGACTGGCTCCAGATCATCACACTCATCGCCCGCTCCAACCCAGAAGGACTTGCCCAGCTCCTCAATTTCGTTGCTAACAACGGCCAACCACTTGTCAACGCCATGCAAGTTGTCACAATCCTTCAGCAGTTCTCCCTCTTCACACAGGCTGCTTCATTTTTGGTATCTGTTCTTGTCCAGAACCGTGAGGAAGATTCCGATCTCCAGACACTTCTCTTCGAGATCACATTGACCAACATCCCACGTGTTGCTGAAGAACTCTTCGCCAAGGAATGCTACACATTCTACGACCGCCAGAAGGTTGCCAACCTCTGCGAACGTGCAGGCAACTTCCAGCGCGCTCTCGAGCACTACACAGACCTTCCATCCATCAAGCGCTGCATCGTCAACACACAGTCAATCAACCCAGACTTCTTAGTCCAGTACTTCGCAACAATGGATCCAAAGTGGGTCATGGAGTGCCTCCAGGAACTTCTCACAAACAACCAGCAACAGAACGTCCAACTCGTCGTCAAGGTCGCTGGCACATACTACGACAAGCTCGGCATCGACACACTCCTTGCATTGTTCAACAAGACAAAGGCTACACAGGCTATCTACTACTTCTTAGCTCTTGTCGTTACAACATGCACAGATCCAGATATCCACTTCCGCTACATCGAAGCTGCAACAAAGCTTCAGGACTACGGCGAAGTTGAGAGAATGTGCCGTGAGTCAGAATACCTCCAGCCAGAGCGTGTTCGTGACTTCCTCATGCAGGCTGATCTCCCAGACCGCGTCCCACTCATCGTTCTCTGCAACAGATTCGGATTCGCTGAGGATCTTACAAAGTACCTCTACAAGAAGAATGCTTCCCGCGAACTCGAAATCTACATCCAGAAGTTCAACCCAGCCATGGCCGGCCGTGTCATCGGTGCCCTCATCGATATCGAAGCACCACAGGAGTACATCGTCAAGTTGATCAACTCCGTCCAGCACACAGCACCAATGGAGGAGCTCATCAAGGAGACAATGAAGCGCGAGAGACTGCGCCTTCTCCAACAGATCCTCGAACAGCGCCAGGCTTCTGGTTCTGTCGATCCAGCCACAAACAACGGTATCGTTCTCCTCGCCTACAACATGGGCCGCAACCCAGAACGCGCCCTCCGCGAGAACCAGTACTACGATCCAAAGTTTGTCGGTGAGATCCTTGCCAAGCGCGATGCCCACCTCGCATGCATTGCCTACGCCAAGGGCCAGTGCGATGACGAACTCATCGAGCTCACAAACACACACCAGCTCTACAAGGAACAGGCCAGATACCTCGTCAACAGACAGGATGAGAACCTCTGGGCACGTGTTCTCAACCCAGAGAACCCACACATGAAGTTGGTTGTCGATGCTGTCATTTCCACAGCTCTTCCAGAGTGCGAAGACCCAGACAAGGTCTCAATGACAGTCAAGGCATTCATCACCGCCGACATCCCAGCACAGCTCCTCGGCCTTCTCGAGAAAGTCGTCATGGAGTCTCCACAGTTCAAGGAGAACGTTTCCCTCCAGAACTTGCTCATCCTCACAGCTGCTCAGTCAGACACAACACGCGTCATGAACTACGTCCAGCGCCTCAACCACTACACATGGGAAAAGATTGCTGAGAAGCTCATCGACTTCCAGCTCTACGATGAAACAATCGCTGTCTACAAGAAGTACGAACAGCCAGTCCTCGCCGTCAAGGTCATGCTCGACAACAAGGGCGATCTCCAAGGCGCTGCTGACTGGGCCGCCCACTGCGACGATCCAAACGTTTGGGGCGAAGTCGCTCGTGCTCAGCTCGCTGCCGGCGAAGTTGTCAACTCCATCGAGTCCTTCATCAAGTCAAAGGACACAAAGGAGTACTACGCCGTCATCGAGGCCGCTGAGAAGGCTGAAGAGTACAAGGCTCTTGTTCCATACCTTCAGCTCGCTCGCTCCAACCAGATCGGTGATCCAATCATCGAGACAGAGCTTCTCTTCGCTTACGCCAAGGTTGACATGCTCGGCGAGTTAGAGGAACTCGTTTCTTCTCCAAACTCCGCCCGCACAAAGGAAATCGCCGACCGCTGCTTCGATCAACAGCTCTTCAAGGCCGCAAAGATCTTGTACACAGCAGTCAAGGACTACGCCCGCCTCGCAGAGACACTCATCGAACTCAAGGAACTCCAGGCCGCCATCGACGCTGCACGCAAGGCATCATCCACAAAGTCATGGATGGCTGTACTCCGCGCTTGCATCGAAATCGGAGACTTCAAGCTCGCCCAGGTCGCTGGCTTACAGATCGTCATCGAAGCCGATCACCTTCTTGAGGTCATCAAGTTGTACGAAGACGGTGGCTACTTCACACAGGTCATTGGCTTACTTGAAGCAGCTCTCGGCTTAGAGCGCGCACACGGCGGCATCTTCACAGAGCTTGCCGTTCTCTACGCCAAGCACCAGCCAGAGAAGTGCATGGACCACCTCAAGCAGTTCAACCAGCGCATCGCCCTTTTCAAGGTCATCAAGATCCTCCAGGCCATGCACATGTGGAAGGAACTCACATACGCCTACGACAAGTATTCCGAGTTCGACAACGCCGTCACAACAATCATCGAGCACCCATCTGCTGCATGGACACACAACTACTTCAAGGAACTCGTCGCTCAGGTCTCCAACGCAGATATCCTCTACAGATCACTCAACTTCTACCTCACAATCTCTCCAATGGATATCCCAGACTTGTTGCAGACAATCGGTCCAAAGATTGACTCAACAAGACTTGTCGACATGTTCAAGCGCTCCAACAACCTCCAGCTCATCAAGTCATACCTCGCTTCCATCCAGTCCACAAACGTCCAGGCTGTCAACGAGGCCCTCAACAGAATGTACATCGAGGACGGCGACTACGACTCACTCAGACGCTCAATCGATGCATTCACACTCTTCGAACAGATCACATTGGCACGCGAGTTAGAGCACCACGAATGCTTGGAATTCCGCAGAATCTCATCCTACATCTTCAGAAAGAACCAGAGATGGAACGAGTCTATCTCCATCTCCAAGAAGGACGAGTTCTACAGAGATGCAATCGAGACAGCTGCTCAGTCCAAGGACACAAAGATCGCCGAAGATCTCATCAAGTTCTTCCTCGAGAAGAAGCTCCTCGAGTGCTTCGCCGCTGCCACATACGTCTGCTACGACCTCCTCTCATCCGATGTCATCCTTGAACTCGCATGGAGACACAACTGCACAGACTTCGCAATGCCATTCCTCATCCAGTCAATGAGAGACCAGAACGCTGCCATCGCCAAGCTCCAGGCTGATGTCCAGGCTCTCTCTGGCACAGTCGAGGAGACAAAGACAGTCGCTGCTGCAGCTGCTTCTGCATCTGTCGCTCCACCAGCATTCGACGGCGGATTCCCAGACCAGGGCGCTTCATTCGCTCAGTCAACTGATCCATTCGCTGCTTCCGGTGCTCCAGCTTCATTCGCCCCACCACAACAGTTCGGAAACGCTTCATTCGGTGGCCAGCCAGGATTCGCTTCACAGGGTGGATTCCAACCACAGTTCCAGGGTGGATTCTAAATCAATTAATTTCCTAACTAGGATTAAAACAAAAATTATTCAAAAATTTGTTTATGTTTTTTTAATCTGGAAAATAATATTCTAAATGTTTTACAAATCATAACTTTGTAGCAAGAAACTTTGTGTAGGATCCTCAGCGTAAATTCCTCTCTATTGTTGTTTAATTCGAAATTCAGCTCGAAATTTGATGTCAGTATCCAACATTTTACCAATCTTGAGGTAAAAAACAACAATATAAATCACAATAATAGAGCAAAGAATCTCATAATCAAATGTTTTTCTTTGATTATCTTACGATAAATTATATTCCTGTTTGATATCCGATGCAGCCTTAAAAATATAAGCTATAAAGGGTTCTCTTCTGTAAAGAACCATGATAAGATATCAAAATACCTAATTCATCACTTATGTAAAAATAATATTATGAAAGTCATCAAACTTACAAGAAAAACTGGCTCAAAAACTATCGGAACGCCACACTATTGAAGTTCTAGCTGAATCCTATGTCATTTTTGTTGATTACCCTTAAATTTGAAAAGTCGATCTTTTGCAACGCAGTTTGATTTTATCAACTTTTCATAAAATTAAAACAAGTTTAATCATTATGAGATTTTAATGATTGATAGTTGTTATGGGAAGTGAATTTTCGTTTGATCGAGGCGGGAACCTTTTTTATGTAATTGCATATTCTCTCCCAAAAACGCGAAAGTGTGATTATATCTGGTGTTTCTTGACCACGGCAATCTTGTACAAATATTTGAATTGTTTCGGATTTGTCTGTATTCTTAGATAACAACGATATTAGATCAAAATATCCTATTCTAAGATGTACATTTTTGAAAGAATAAAACAATTTATCACCAGGACGAATTTGATCAACTTCTCTGAAATATTGATAAACATATTTAACTGGCATTAAGAGATATTCGTTGAAAAAAAATCGTCTCTTTCACGAGCAAAATATTTAATAATTTGAATGTTTTGAGTACAATTTGTAAATTTGTTTGTTGAAAACATATCTAACAGCGTGCTAAAGTTTTCAACGTTTGAAACTTTGAGATAGAAGTTTACGATACCTAGGATTGCATGATTTGGAGCTCTTTGGTATGGAAATGTAACTACAACATTTATTGGACTAGTGAGTTTTTCTGAGATAAAGATGGGAATGTCTTTGCAAATGTTCGATGTTTCTGGAAGGTCAAAAAGTTTGAGGTATTCATTTAGCTCTGGTTTGATTGCCTCAACAAGGAAATCTTTGATTTCTGAATTACGTAAGAATCTACTATCTTGATAAACTACGTTATTGTAGATTGCATTGCAATCAGGCGAAATCGACTCACAAAACATTAAAATTTTTTGAGTTGAAGTCTCAATTTCAGGTAAAATTTACGATAAATTGAAAGCCATTTGATTAGGGGTGTGCAGATGTTCAAAAAAGAAAATGGTTGTTTTGTTGTAAACAGAAATTCATCAAAAGTGACACCTCAGAAAAGCTAAAATATTGAATTTTTGGAACTTTTGATAGAGCACGTTTTTAAATATTAATTAAAGTAAATGTATATTTTGTAAAGATTCTTTTTAATAAAAAAATAAAATTTTGAAGAAGAACACAAAATCTTCTGAAAAATAATATCACATAAACTCATATTATTTTCTAATATATAACTATTTTATATAAAAATCAAATTCAATGATCTTAAAAGCGAAGGATAAACCTCAAAATTTACGAATATAATGAGTGGGAATATAATGCTTATCTATCATAAAACCATATGAAATATCAATTTTTGCTTTACGCCTAATTTTTGACGACAATTAGCAAAAAATGTTAAATGTTAACACTCAGTCCATTTGAATATGAAAAATAAAATTGACTTTGATTAAATGTTTTTATTTATCATGCAATTCTTCTTGCGACCAAAGATTTGAATAAAAGTTCAAAAAATAAGATAGCTTAAAAAATAATATACGGTAGTGTTTACTAATAGATGAATAGTATATAAATTCTATTAAAATGGATTTGATCCAAAAAAATATAAAATCAAAAATAATTGTTATAATTTAAATGAAGAAGTAATTTAAAACGATTTTATTTATGATCAAATTTTATATATTTTTTTGGATCAAATCCATTTTAATAGAATTTATATACTATTCATCTATTAGTAAACACTACCGTATATTATTTTTTAAGCTATCTTATTTTTTGAACTTTTATTCAAATCTTTGGTCGCAAGAAGAATTGCATGATAAATAAAAACATTTAATCAAAGTCAATTTTATTTTTCATATTCAAATGGACTGAGTGTTAACATTTAACATTTTTTGCTAATTGTCGTCAAAAATTAGGCGTAAAGCAAAAATTGATATTTCATATGGTTTTATGATAGATAAGCATTATATTCCCACTCATTATATTCGTAAATTTTGAGGTTTATCCTTCGCTTTTAAGATCATTGAATTTGATTTTTATATAAAATAGTTATATATTAGAAAATAATATGAGTTTATGTGATATTATTTTTCAGAAGATTTCATTCTATATGCCTATGAAAAGTACTCTCAAAACTAACTTTTTCCTAATTATAATTAAATCTAGAATATTGTATTATGCTTAGTATTATTTCATTTTTCTCATTCAATTTAGAATTTACAAATGTCAAAAAATTGAGAGCTGTCACTTTTGATGAATTTCTGTTTATTACAGTTTGTATGTTGTATCATTTATTTGTTCATATTAGCAAAAAAATTTGAATGAAATATCATCGTAATTCTTATTGAAATTTGATTAAAGGAAATCTAAATCAAAATATTCAGGGTTGATAAGCTATTATTTCCAATAATATGCAAGAAGTTATCATGATTCAATACGATGAACTTCTTATTCAGCAAAATAAATCAAGCAGCAAAGAAATTTGCAACTTCAACGAAGTTTTTCAGAATATTACGGCTCGAATGATTATGATGATAGAAAAGAAAATGAATACATATCAGGCGATGGCAATTATTATATTCATCATGCAATATTTTCTTACCATTATCAAAATCGAGCGATCTACCTTAAATCCAACAGCAAAGTATTACTTGAAACAAACTGTGTATAATGATCTTTTTTATTTTGAATCAGTTAAACCATTTGATTCAGCTATAATTCACTTTACTACATATTATTGCCCGGGTACAAATTTTTATGATAAAAATAATTCATACAATGATGATGAAGACGAGTTTGACCTCGAAGACATCAAAAATATTGCTATAAATGTTTACAAAATGTCATTTTGTGAAGTAATAAACGCATCTTCTTTATTATACCCTTTTCATCTGAATTTATGGCATGATGTGCATCGTGTGATTTAAGGTACAATTAATTTAGCGTCTTAATGACAGATTTTTAGTTAAATTTCAATAAAATTTTAATTAAAAACTTGATATATGCTAAAATTTGAACAATGTTTAAAATAATTCAAAAATGAAATACATTTGCCATTTTAGAATCTTTTAAAACCTCTGAATAATATTAAAAAAATTAAAATTGACTTCTTTTTAACCTTAAAATTCCAAAAATCTTCAAATTCAATAAAATGTCAAAAAAAATTAGACATTTTGTTTTCTAATATCTGCTTTCTTTGTTATCTGTCTTGGAACAAAAACAAACATTTTCTATTTTAACACATTTCAACAAGAAGATTCATGCTAAAGCATCTCAGTAAAGACAAAATTTGATTTAATTCTTCGACAATTTTTTAATAACTGTTAATTATCTTAAACAAATTTACTTATTTGCTAGTTTAATGCCATTTTACTGATCGTGGACATCAATTATCTTATCTAACACTTTAATTTTTTATTAAAAGTATGATAAATCATTAGTTAAATCATCGTTCCCCTTTACAATCCATTGGACAATTAAAATGTACTTATTATGTTATAATTTATCAGGCAATTGAATAAACCTTTATTAAAATCCTATTATTTCAATTGCATTAAACGAATTATGATGCGCATACAGAATTCTATATCATATCATCTATTTACATTAAGATATTTCTCCATCATTTCATACGAAAATCGAAAATATTTTTCTATTGTGTTCAATATTAGATTTTTACTTAGTAGAAAAACACTAGTATGGTCATTGAAAATCATATATCGAAAGAGTGAGTTCATATTTCCAATAATATTGAATAAATTATTTTTAATCTCTAATCGAATAATGCATTGATATTCTGACATTAAAAAGCACAGTTTATGATTTGGATCATTGTGGCCTAATAGATTCAATGTTTGAAAATAGCAATTTCATATTTATGCCATTTGACAGATTTGTAACTTGTTTTTCTTCTTATTAACCTATTCTTAGTTTAAACACAAACAAAAAATTAAATATGAATCAATCAAGCCTTGATCATCGATCATTCGACATATTTATTTTGAACAAAAGGCATGCATCCAGAATGATGAAGCATAGGGAATTAAAATAACTTGTTTTTCAAAGTGGGCTGCTAAATTTTCTTCTTAGTAGTATATGTTGAAGGGTTTTGTGACTTTTTTTGTAAACGTAAGAATTCATACATTTTTGAGCGATTTTGTATCATTTTTTTTTACATATGAAGTAAAAAATGTATGATTTTTACGGGGGAGGTTTTTTGTGATATGGAAAAATGTTAGTTGCTCAATTATCTCACTATTGGATGGACTTTTATCGAGCGAAATTTTGGCTGTAAAGACAATTCTGATATTGGTAACATGGTGATAAGAACAAATAGTCAGTTTGCCTGGTTTATGATGAGATAATTTCGATTTAAAAAAAACATAAAAATTGATTTTAATGAGCGATTATATTTGAATATGCTCTCCTAATTTGAAGGAACTGGTTAAATCATGAATTGATCATGAATAATTTTTTTTCAAAATAACAATTATAATTTCATATTCATTATAAGTTGAAAATATATCATAAAGACTTTATGAATGATAAATTCGTAAAAAACAAGTTA